GAAGAGCGAACGCTAGCAATGCGAAACATGTTTGGAGTATCTTTCTGTGACGAATAGATTGTTCGAACTGTTGGTCAGATCAGTGACGTAAGGGTTCTCATTTCAAACACGTGAAAAATAAAAATTTCTAGGGCAAAGTATGTTGCTCACCTTGCTGACAACCAGTGGTCATGGTGCATCTGCGTGCGTTGGCACGGGAAACCTGCGAAAAATAGGCCAAGAAACCGCCATAGAGAAAAAAGAAAGAAAGGAAGCGGTAAAACGTTGCGTCCCGACGTTTGCAGGGATGAATGTCGGTCCAGAACAATTTTCGAGGAAGGGCTCCGTTCACGACATGTGGTACTTACAAGAGTGTTTACGACCACACGGACTGTTTGAGGAGAGTACACACACTGGACAGACCAAAGATACGAAGGCGGTGGGACGGGAACTTTGCGGTGATGGTTCTCGACCACGCGCGGCGGAAAGTTGACGGAGTGACCTCGCAACTTCACATGCAGAGGGGCGTGGCGACGTTAACTATGGTGGCGGAGCATGACGTCATTGCTGCTGTGTGGGCGACGTCATTTCTGGATTGACGGGGGTGACGTCATCTAGAATAGTCTGTTCGCGGGCTTCAGTGAATGGGGCGATTTAGCTCGATCATTTTCAGTATTTTCGGATCCTTCGAATCGTGACATGTTACCCATTACACTGCTGCTGACCCCCTTCACTGCATATCCAATAAGAAATGGGGGATTACGAGCATGTCTTGCTACAAGCATACAATCGAAACGGTCCTCATTTTTCATATTTAATAGCAAATCGGGCTTGCGGGAATTGCTTGAACAACAAACAGTGCATACTTTCCTTGCCAGCTTTTCAAAAATATTAGTACCAGGGATCTCATTTCACAAGTAATTCCTTTTTTGGGTGGCGAAATTTGATCGTTTCTGTTCAACGTTATTTTCCCAAAAGTAAAAGTACCATTCGATGACTTGAAATTTTAGTTTTAAAAAGGAAATTTTATCCTGCAGCGAATGTTTACAGAAAGCATACAGGTAAGGTGGTGGTGCTGGTGGTTGGGGGGGAGGGGGAAGAGGGGTCGAGATCGGGACGAAGCCAGTTGACCAGATGAGTGGACGACAGATGTGCGGCAGGATGGTATGAGAGAGAGATGTGCATTGGGCTTGCAAATAAAAACGACATTCCTATTGAGCTATGGAACTGTACACATAATAACTTTTGTTGTTTTGACCGATACTGCATTGCATGGTGGTCAGCTTGCTTGGTTTACCGTACTTAGTTTAATACGGTGCGCAGTCTCAGACAGTCAACCATTGTTTTCTTTCTTTCTTCAGCCCAATGATTTATGTGTGGCGGTGAAGTACCAGTTGTTTTGCATGGGTACTCTTCCGGTATTACTTTTATCCACGATCACAATAGCAGCAGCAAGAACCGAAAAGCAGCTCATTGATGGATGTAGCTCCCATTGTACACTCCAATTTGATCAGGTTTTTTATTTCTTTTTTTATAGGAATTGTATTTTTATGAATGTAGTTACATTCACAGGGCTGGCAAAATATCTGAAGAAGGATGTTTCGGTCCATTAAGTCGTATACATTCCTTTTTAGCACCACAACTGCTCATCCTAACTATGACTGTTGTAAGATTGTAAGTAAAACTTCTCATCACGACAGTTGTGTGTTAAACTTGAAAATCCGTCTTAACAATGCATTCAACGTGTCTTGCTCATTGGATTTTACATTTTATAGTAACTATATTAGCGTAAAAGTAAACGCGGCTTACGGACACAACTCAGTGAAAGCTAACGTCACCGTAAAGGGCTGGGTTCTGTGATTGGGAGATCTCATCTCTATCTATGAATTGTTCATTCATTTCGATAGTAAATTGGTACTGGTATGCCGGAAGGTTAAACTCGCCTTCAGTTGGTTTTGGAGCTACTTCGGACTGGAAGCCATCGGCAATCTTTCTGGTTTTTGGTATATGTTGTCCTCGAAATACTTTGGAGCACTTCCTTCCTCTCAAGGAGAATGAACCCGGAGAGGACGGGAACGGGGCGGAGGCGAGGGAGGAAGTTGACTTCTATTTCTGATTAGAAAACGCTGGCCGCTAAAAAAGAAATCTATGAGCCGCAACAGATAAACAGTGACTCGACAAATATCATAAAATGCTCGTTCGTATTTTCGTTAGCAAAAAAAATTTCATAATAAAAAAGTAGTGAAAATCGAGAAATGTGAGAAAAGAATGCCTAAATCTTACGAGATCATGAACAACTCAACGATTTCCCTATAGTTTATAATTATAATATTGGTTCTTTGTTTTAGAATTTCTCATGCTGGAATAAAACTAAAACTTTTTTCGGGTACGCTCTTGTCGGTGCAATGCTACGATATGTTTCCACACAGGTACATCGATTTTTGGCCTACGATTGTTATTGCCTGGTTATCTAATTTAGGTAACAAATTAAAAGCTAAAAACTTCTGTTTATTCTTTGAGAGGTGAAGGAGCACCGAAGTATCCCTTGAGTAGCAAATTCCAGCAGCAATGGGCAAAATTGTCGATGACTCCCTCTTCTGAGACATCTAATTTTGGTATAAAATTATCACCGATCTTGAAGACAGCAAGAATTTTTTTTCATTCATTCCCAAATCTTTTTTTATTGTCCTCTCTTCCTCTTATTAGTTGATTATTTC